AGGAGGATGCCAAATATTGCCCTTATAAATTGCTCTCTGTGGGGTACAGAGATGAAAACCTGAGTATGAATGTCTGCGCGCTTGGGCAGATGAGAAGGAAGGTCTGATATTTGTAATTTTATTCCTGGGTCTGCTGGTTGTACATGGGGTATTCATTAGTGGCATTCCCAGAGCGGAATGTGGTACTCTCTTTGGCTTAGCCAATGCTCAACAATTTGGGAGGTTTTTTTGTTTGGATACTACCCAAGAGAAAAAAAGGTGGGAATTGTGCTGGAGGAGGAAAAACAGCTTTAAATGCCGTGAGGATTATGGGTAATAATACTTATCAAACCAAAGAAGGACAATTGACCAGTTGGTCAGTAAGCAGAGCTATTTGACCACATGGGAGCAAATACTGTAAAACATCAGTCAGAAAAAGTTGTCTTGGATTTAATATTTCTAAGCTTTTATTTAAACATTTAATTATTTTGGCCTCTTGAGCAACAGCTTCAGGGGATCCAAATGGAAAGTTAAACCTTTTAAAAATATAAATGTCAATTATCTACTCTTTCCTGCCCCTTCCTCCTTCCTTTCCCTCTCCGTTTACACATACATCCCCTGTTTCCTATGTCTTTGAACTACAGCCAGCAGCTGAATGTGATGTATTTCAAATATGTGTGATGGGGGGAGGGAAATAATCCATAGATGTAAAGATTAAGGGAGATATAGCTCAAGTGTGGTTGAGAACTTCTTTAACAGATACACCTCCTGTAAGGAGATTATATTATAAATCCTCTGTACTGCATACAGGTTTAGCTACAATCTTTCAAAAAAAACTTCCAAACCAACCCAACACTGCTAAATAATGCTTTCTGACAATTTCTTAGCTGATTCACTCACTTTTAAATCATCAGTTTGCGCATATGTGAGTGGAAAAACTAGTCTTTGGAATTTCTTGGCTTTGCTTTGTAACCTACTCAAAATGCTCTGTTAAAAATACCAATTTCCACTGTTCCCTTGATCATTTGATGCTCTGTGGGTGAGCAGCTTGTCACATTTTAGACTATTTCAAAACAAGCAAACAAGCTTGTTTCTGTAGTTATGATGGTCTCATGATACGATGGTCTCATGATACAAACGGGACAGTGTTTGGCAAGAGTGGGGATGTCCTGTGTTAGGCCAGCTGACACGCTTTGCAGCTCAAAGGAGAAAACAAGCTGAGGCGCACACAAGGCCTTTCTTAGTCTGAAACAAAAGCAGCAAACCTCGTTAAACCTTGTTTTGTAATAAATTATTACAGGCTTTTGGTGAGCTCTATTCCCATGACGTTTGCCATGCTACGCTTTTAAAAGGGAATAATTCTGCTTCTGAATTAGGTATTTGATCTGCGTGCAGTATTTTGTAATGAGGTGTTAATGTATTTATAAAATATATTTTTAAAACTTTTTTAAAAAAAAAAAAACTTCCATTAACAACTCCACCTCTTCTCTATTTGTTAAAATTACTAAAATATCTTTTCAGAATTGAATGATATTGGTATTGGGACAAAATGTTTAAATTGCATAAGCTACTGGCTATTTTTTTGACTTCTCAAACTTAATGCAGTTGAGTCTTAGCACAGAAAGCTAACATTTGATAATGTGTGGCTGATAACAACAATAGTGTGACAGATAATCAGTACCTGTAATATTCCTGAACGTTAAACCAGTTGCACCTTTTTTTGTGATTACACAAAACAGTTGTATGGTCTGTAACATGCCCTGCAAAAGAAAATGCAAAATTATCGAAGAAGACTGCCCAAAGGGGTAGAAAAAAAAAAACCCAGGTGCATAAATATGTAGTTGCACGTAAGCATGCTCTCTTTTAGGTTTCTTTTTGGGAAGTAATTACCGAAGAAGTGCTTTTCCTTGCGCATGTAGCACAGTATTCTGTACTTTAGTGAGGCAGTGTACAGCTTTCGTTACAACGACAAATACTGAAATGTTAAAAATAGATCAAGCTTTAAGAATCCCAGATATTTTCAAATAACAAAGAGTGATTTATGTGGGCTCATTTTGCACTTTGACGAAATATAGAGGCGCTTTTGTACTATGATTAGCAAGGATGCTGATGTCAGTTCACTCGTCTAGCTTTAAGCTTTATTCTGCTGCTAAATTGTGCTTTGTACTGCACTCCAGAGAACCTTTGTATCTGCCTTATTAGTGTGTAGTTTATGGAATTGCTTTTGGTTTTGGATATAATCTGTGCCAGTTTCAGTGAGGGTGACTCATTATATGACCGAAATAAACATTCGCATATGCACTATATGAAAACTCTTCCAAAATAGTAGCAGGTGCTGGTAGGCTAAATCCGATGGTTTAAGTACTTTATAGTTGCTGTTTTGTAGCCCAAAGGGCTGAAAGCAGAGTCTGTTTAGCTGGTTGATTTTTCTAAATTTTTAAGAGTCCTATTTGCTCAACAGATTTTCAGGATTGCAAATAATTTTTCACTCCTTAACACAGTACTAGCAATAAACTTCCAGAAGGGGCACAGTTTGTTGGTACTGAGTTGATTGTTATTTTTCTTTGCATGAATTGTGAGACAAAATGCATCTTACTCCTCAATAGCCCTTTTCCCTCTCCTATCTCTAATCTCTTTCCTCCTGACTAAAGCTTTGAAAATTTTGTCTGACTGACTGAAGGCTGAGGTTAGAGATAAAGGTAGTTTCTGAAGCAATGGTGTTTTTCCAGTTGGGTTCCTAACAGTTATCTGTGATCGACCTTGTCTGGAGAGAGCCTCCGATGCTGAAGTTTCCTGTTATCCCAGCATCTAAGTTGTCACTTGATTTGGAAACAGGAAACAAACCAAACTTTGCCAGTGTTTTTGGGTCACTGCTAAACAGTTCTTATCAGCTGTGCTACTAGCAGATGCTCACATCTGAAATCTAAATTGAAGGAGTTTCATTTGTTACATCTTCCACTCCTGTGTTTCACTGTTTACCCAGTTAAACTTACTGCTACAGGGGAAATAGTTCCTGGTGACCTTGACTTGATTCACACAGTTCATCATTTGAAGACAGATGCTGTATTCACAACTAATAATAGATATACACACAACAAATATGCTTTTTAATTAAGTTTGAAAGTTATTTTAAAATCGAATAACTTTTATAGGCTTGGTAGTTGGCGAATAGCTCATAAGCCTTAGTTAAGCTATCTGGTATTTTTCCCTTTCTCCTGTTTTCTGCATTATCTTTTCATAATAGCGTCCTAAGCCTGATCCCCAAAAAAGGCATGCCCGCTTGACAATGAGGGTTTTGTGAGGCTCTAGTGCAAAGCTGACGGCGCTGGTTCAGAGCTGGAAGATGGCAGTGCAGTTCTCCCTCTTTGTCCTTTATGTTCTCCTTCCACTAGTTTGTCTGGAGGTAACAGCTACATGAAAATGAAATGGAAACTCTCTTGTGCCTCAAGAAAACGGGTCCGAATCTTTTCCTAATTCATAGTAAGAAACTCTTGTTTGCCAGGCTGTGTCCCAGTGTGTAAAGGACATCACACGTCTTGACCTCTCCTGGGACCGTCCCTGCTGATTTCGTTCCTTTACTGGGTTAGCATACGGCCAGGGCTGGCTGAGAGCAGAACTCACTCACCTGTTGGTGGTGTGGTGTTTGGTGTTTTTCTAATGTCTTCTGTTGTTTTTTGTCCTTCGGAAGGACTTGCTTGTGACCTTGTTTGGACACCCTACAGAAGCTTTAAATGGGGCACCTTGGGGCATGGTGTGAGTCTGTGGTTTAAACATTCGGTCGCTTGGCTGCTGCATTGATTTCCCTTGGTCTCCAACTTCGCTAAAAAGTATAAAAACAAATGAACGAAACAGTGATGGCTCTACTGTGTCCAGGCTCTGCTTTTAGATTTCTGACTCTGAATGCCGTTCACCTCTTCTCGTGGGCAATGGCAGTACGTCTAGGTTCTTCTACAGTGCTCATTATCCTGGTATTTGTGAATATGAAGAAGCTTACAGCTTAGGATGCTGCGTTGCTGGGAGGGCTGAGGAACCAAAGTGCAGCTCAGTGGGGAATAAAGCTGCTGGTGATGACTCCAGGAGGGTTGTATGCAAACCTTGGTCTCTTGGTTTGAGTTAGCATCTTTGGAGAGAATTGTGCCAAGGTGCCAGAGGCCCACAGGAATGAAAGGCAGCTGAGGAATAGTTAGAAGCTGAGACACTTAAGTTGTCCTTCTCTTCCTGACCAGCTTCCTTCTATCTGTGGTGGCAGGAAGGTTGGTATAACGAGCACGGGGTCCAACTGTGAAATGTATTTCTTCTGTGGATGTACCTTTCCCAGAGACTAGTTTTATGCAGTAAAACTGGAAGGTTTGGTCATTCTCCCCATCCCCATCTCTCTGATGTTTTCCAAAATAATAATGTAGCTCTTTTCCTGTAAGAATTAATATTGTACAAGTATTCTGAGGGTCTGAGTGCAGAGTTCCTCTAACATCGGGGCGAGCGTACAGTGTGAACATTGTTCTTTAAATGCAGGTCACTGTTGTTGAATATCCGTGAAGAATTCAGATTTAAAATGCATCAGCTTGAAGCAGCAGATAGTGGTAACAAGGCACTGTGGAACACTTAAAGATGGATTTTGATTTGTCTTCCGATGCCTAGATGAACTTCCTTCAGATGTGGGGTGTTTTTGTGTGCTTTTTTCCCCTACCCTGGTCCTCTCCCCTCCTTTTTTATTTACTGGTTTCATCCTTTCTCCTCCTGTAAGCAGAAGCTTAGTTATGTGTCCCCTTCTTAAAAACAAAGCTCAAATGCAGAAGAAATAAACTTTAAAATAAAAATCTTCTAGTCCACTGCTGTAACAATACGTAAATAGATGGTGTTAAATGTAGGTAACTGGTGTGTGTTCTTTTAGAATTATAATTAAACTACTTGTTATTACTTGGTTCAACCCAAGTTGAAACCTTACACAAAAGGCAACAGTCTTAGTGTGATTTTTCTAATTCTAATTTTTATCCTTTTTTTCTCTCTCCAATTTTCAGGCATGGAAGAGGAGATGGTTTGTGCTTCGCAGCGGCCGTTTAACGGGGGATCCGGATGTATTGGAATACTACAAAAATGACCATGCTAAGAAGCCTATCCGTATTATTGACTTAAATTTGTGTCAACAAGTGGATGCTGGATTAACATTCAACAAAAAAGAGTTTGAAAACAGTTACATTTTTGATATCAACACTATAGACAGAGTTTTCTATTTGGTAGCAGACAGCGAGGAGGAGATGAATAAGTGGGTTCGATGTATCTGTGATATCTGTGGGTTCAACCCTACAGATGAAGGTAAGTTCTGTTGGTTTTTCTGAGTGCAATGCCTACATGTGAAAATGTTTCAAAGATCAGATGGCTATCTTTAGCTGGCATATGTTTTAAAATTTCTGTGCATTTGCTGTGAAACTTCCTTGTTAGTCTTGGAAAAAAAGTAAGCAGAACTGGGGGAGATATTAAGAATTTGTTACAAATTAAGTGAGCCACAGAACTTGGATGATGCTCTTATGTTTTGCATGATGTTAGGTCTTTGGAGTATAGGAAAACTCTTTAAAATCATGCAAAGCAGAAGATCATCATAATCATCAAAGGGTTCCCATTTGGTATAGAAATGTATGGTTATGCAAGCCAGAATGAGTGCAAAATGTCAGGTTTCTAATATTATCATTTCTCCATCTGCTTTGTAACTTGGAAAAAAACCCCGCCTCCCACTGGGCAAAACAAACGAAAAATTACTTGTCCTTCACTATCCAGCTCTAATCCTACCAAAATAGACATAGTGTGAAAGCAGCTGTAGGAATCAGGATGGTGTATTTAATTCATACAAATACCTTGTAGCCATTGCTTGTCCTGAGTCCATCCTTTATTTACTTATTATTCCTGCATTCCTTGTAGAGATTAGTGGGTTGCATGACTTGCTGTAGGTCTGTGCACAGTCCCAAGAAAAGATTAAATGGGGAGCGGTAAGAGGGTTATAAGTAAAGCATGCCTGACTGAAGGGGCTAGAGTTAAATCCCTGGTTTTTGTAGGATTGTGGATTCAGGGAGGTGGGGGAAAAAGGGCTTGCTTTGTCTGCTCCAGCCAAATCCTTAAAAATGACGGGGAATTATTGTTGCTTTCGGAAGAGGGGCTCTTTTCTTTCTCCTTATTGCAGTTTTGAACTAAAACTTTGTCACGAAAACTTGTCTATGAATTACCACTCTAATAGCAAATTCAGGGTACTTGTTTTGACAGTTCCAGCATGTTTTCATGACGTCCTGAACATAACTGAGACCACGCACAGCACGTTTCTAAGAGCAATTGCCATATGATTCAGTGTTCAGTCTGCCAGGCATTCGGTACGTACGGGAGAGAGGCAGGCAGGTGATTGCTTTTCAGTGGATAATACACTTGTGCACCAGTGCAGCCATGGGCAGGAGATGCTCAGAAGTCATTGGTTCTGAGGACAAACTAGGAATCTGGGAAGTAAGGAGGAAATTTTACCTGGCAGCTCTTGTGTATGTGCGAGTGCAAAGGAGCATGTGTCCATTGCGGGGAGCAGAGAAGTAAGGTCACCTCAAAGCCATGTGGCCTGTCCTTGCTGAGAGCTGGTGTATTTGCTAATCCGTATTTTTCTGTTGATGCTACGTCTTCTGTTGAACTGAAGATGAAAAATGCTATGAATGCAGAGAGAACTAATTATGCCCTCACTGGCTGTATGGACCAAAACTGTTTTTTGCTTCAGTCGGTTGTATCAATAGATTATTGCATTTATACTCTCAGTGCACGTTTTTTATCTGTGGTATTTTAACTTCATCTGAATTATCCTAACACCTTTACGTAACTGAGAGTTGACAGTGCTGTCTGTTCTGTGGGTTTAGTAATGGCTTGCAATGTGTTGAGGAAGAATTAAAAAAGGCAATATACAGACACTCAGCAACTGATTTTCCTATTTTCCAAGTTCTTATTTTTGCAAGATAAATCTTCCCACTAACGGAACACCAAGTCATAAGACGTAGTTTATAAAATCAGTGTTAACCTACAGTTTATTTTGAGAAGTTAAAGAATAGATGAAGTTCACTGCACATCATATAAAAGCACTATTACTGTAGTACTAAACGCAAAGACTGTAAGGCACATAACCAACCTTCCCGTTAGCCTATGGAAATGGAAGATAGTTCTCTTTGAAGCTGGACAAAATGTCTCTTGCCAGCCTGGTTAAGGGTCGTCTTATGAGAGGACTGTTGATGGCATCCTTTGCTTGATCAAGGACTTGAGGTACCACTAGCCTATCGCTCCTGCTGCTGTTTGTTTGGAAGCCCGGTCCAATTGCCTGCTTGGATTTACAAAGAGAAAAATTGAGATGGTGGTGGTTAGTGCTGTTAGAAAACGAATATGGAGTGGTTGTTTAGGGATTGGGAGGAATGAGGGAGAAAGAGTTAATCATAGCTGGGGAGGGACCAAAAAAATAAAGATCATCTCAGTATGGCTCTGAACTGCTTCTTCCATACTTAGTGAAGACTCAGAAATCCCTGCGATGCTAAGTTTGTATTATCCTTTATTCCTTGTCTTAAAAAATGAGTGTTCACAGAAATTTCTATCTAATGCTTCATCGTGACCTTCCAACTAGAAACTGATACATGCACGTGAAATCTGTTCATTCTAGAGATCGGCAGTGTTACACTGGTATTTGGGCTGAGGAGACACATTTATGTTCTATAGCCATTTTTACAAGCCATTCAGTCTCCAGCTTTCTCGTTGTATGATAGGATAGTGTAATCTGTAATGATTACATTACATGGGATTTTGATAGTGGCTTTCCTTTAAGGTAGGGTTTACAGTGCTTTAGGTGTTCTAAACTTAATACAAGACAGAAACATTAAGCTTTTAAAAAAAAGTTAAACAATCCTACTTCTGTAAAGAAATTTCTACATACATTTTATGTTTTTGTCAGCTAATGCTTCTTGTTTCCAAATGGAAGCTGTAAAATGTTTGTTTCTGTAGCACCTTTCTTTTTAAAATACATGTGCAAAGGTTGGGGGGAGCTACACACGAGCATGGGTTTTAGGTTTACCACCGAGGTTCATACTGCACTTTTAATGTTCATATTTTCTCGTAGGGTTATAATGTCATTGGTCATTTAGAGGTTAAAATGTAACTATAAGCAAGATGGGTTGGCAGTGTTTTGTGTGCTTTGAACTCCAGTGAGATGTTCGGGGATGGAGAGGCTGAACGGAGATAGGAAATGACCATTCTCCTCTGCCTGGTGCTGCGGAGACCTCAGCTGAAGTAGTGTGGCCTGAGCTTCCAGAAGGGTGAGGACAAATGTTTAAAGAACAACAAAAATAAAGGATTTTTTTTTTAAGTTAGCAATGAGGAGAAAAGTTGGAGGGTTTGTTTTCCCTGGAAATAAAATATTGAGGGAAGAGCTGACTCTCAAAATACAGAAACCCGTGATAAGCATGACAAGGACCAGTTGTTATCTGAAGAGAGAATTAATTTGTTTTTCAGTGTGCAATGTAATGATGAAAAACCTTCTAAGGATATTTAAGGAGAGGCTGTGAAAGCCCTTCCCCAGAATTCGGTAGACATCTGTGGTGAATGTTTTATATGTGATCCAGCTCCACGTTTCTGTAATTTAGTGAATTGCGTGCTTGGCAGAGCAGGGGAAGGAGGAAATAATCTTACTATATGCAAATGTGTTACTTACATGTATTCATTTGAATAAAGATAGCAATAACAAAGTAAACCAGAAGAAAGAAAGAAAAAGGAAAAATAAGATGTTGAAATCTACAATTACACAATTTACATATGGTAAAGAAAGTTTATGGCAAAGAAAGTTTCTGTCATCGTAAGTACTGTACTTAGGAACAGCTTGCTTTATATGCAATGCTTGTAACATTTTCAGTATTTCTGTTCAGGCAGCTGCAATCTGGTATATATTTCTCATGCCCTCTGCATTTTGAACAGTAAAATTATTTTCAGATAACATTTTTTTAAATTGTGTTTTGAAAATACATGTACTGCAGGTTGTTCATAGGTTGGGTGCAATATCAGTGACTGGTGGGGTGAACACAGCTCCCCCTCCCATCCCGGCTCCTTGTATCCTCTCCCGTGCTGCACGGTCAGGCGTCACTGCTGCTGCACTCTGAAGATCTGCGTATTGGATCGGGATACCCTGTGCTGCCTGTAGCACAAGCATGGAACAGAAAACAGGCTCTGCCACTGAGAACTGCAGTAAGAGACATGAACATAGGAGGAGAGGCATGGGGGAAGCGAAAGCAGATGAGGTGCTTTTGACCATTGTGATAGATAAGGGGTCTGACCGCTTCAGCTGTTGGACTGCTCTTGAACTCTGGGATTACTGAGATGAAATTTTCAAGGCATCTTTGATAAATAAATAGTGGACATTAGAGGTGTTTAGGGTGCCCTTCCTGCATGAAGGATCTGTTATAAGAAATAAAAAATTTTCTCCTTTTTCAGCTTTAGCAAGTGGATGATAGAGGCTGGCGCATTTGGCAAATCAAAATCACCATCTCAGTGGTGAAACTGCAGAGCAATAATAAAATTAGGAGAAGCAGGACCAAAGAAGGACCTGAGACTTGGTGTGGCAGGGTTGGGAGAGGGGGGAGGCGGGGGGTAAAA